CATAAGTTCCATTCAATGCAGCAGTAACATAATGGAACAACACATAAAACAGTACTAAGGTACTGTAGTTCACTGTATTAGGAATATATATTTGTGTTTGTTTTGTTTTTTTTGTTGATGAACTAAGCACATTATTCCATCTACAATGTATATGGTGGTGATCTGTAAATAATCGAGTCTGGACCAGACAATCCAGTGATCAAAAGCATGAGTAAGTTTAGTTTTACGCCACTCTCAGCAATATTCCAGCTATATGGTGGCGATCTGTAAATAATCGAGTCTGGGCCAGACAATCCAGTGATCAACAGCATGAGCATGGATCTACGCAATTGGGATACAATGACATGTGTCAACAAAGTCAGCGGGCCTGACCACCCGACCCTGTTAGTGGCCTCTTACGACAAGCATGGGTTGCTGAAGATCAATTCTAAACCAGATCTTCGCAGGTCATAAAAGTAGGAAAGAGTACCAAACCACCATTTCAAACAAATGTTTTGACATGTAGTTTATAGATACATGAATGGCAGCAGAATAATGATCTGTACAATTTGAAATTGTCACCAGCTTCTACACCCGGAAACAGTGGGGTAGCCAAATGGTTATAATGTTCATTCGTGACGCTGAAGACCAGGGTTAGATTTCCCACATGGGTACAATGTGTGAAGCTCATTTCTGGTGTCCCCTGCCATGATATTGCTGGAATATTGCTAAAAGCGGCATAAAACCGTACTCACTCACCGCAGCACCCGAACTATTTTGTTCAGTGTTATATGTATTCCAATAGTGAGTCAAATTACAGGCTTTTAGGGGTGTCCTAATATGCTATCATCATTTGGGCTAATACAATACAAAGTTCAGTTGTTTTATCCCTGACCTAAATTAGCATGTTGAATGTAACAACCATGAATTCAAAGTAAAAAGTCAAGGCTTTTATGATATAACTGCAGGAATATTTTCAATTCTTTAAAACTGATGATGTTGTTTAAGAATTTGCAGAATAATGTGAACAATGGCTGATGTAATTTTTAATTGTTCAACATGCAGTGACATTTTGAACAACAGCTGACGTCCTTTCTTAAGTGTTCATTACAATGCTGTGACAATGTAAAATATAAGTTATGGCATTATTAATTGTTAAAATGCTGTGACAATGTAAAATATAGTTGGTGTTATTTTCAATTGTCAATCAAAATGCTGTGACAATGTAAACAATAGCTGCTTTTATTTTCAATTGTCAATCAAAATGCTGTGACAATGTGAACAATAGCTGCTGTTATTTTCAATTGTCAATCAAAATGCTGTGACAATGTAAACAATAGCTGCTGTTATTTTCAATTGTCAATCAAAATGCTGTGACAATGTAACAATAGCTGATTAAAAAACAATAGCTGCTGTCATTTATAATTGTCTACCACAAAGTTGTGATGTCTTGAACAATATGTATGTGAACTTAGCTCTGTTCCCCGAAACAAAGATATAAGTCATGATGCATCTGGGACCCTCTCCCAAAAGCAGTCATAGAGTTCGGAGCTATGGCAGGCATATAGTTTATCATAGGCTTACATATATCCTAGTGCTACGAACACTTTGTGGATCGGGCCCCAGAACAAGACCAAAACAATCGCAGGTATACAGTTTATCATAGGCTAACAAATATCCTAGTGCTACGAACGCTTTGTGGATCGGGCCCCAGAACAAGACCAAAACAATCGCAGGTATATAGTTTATCATAGGCTTACAAATATCAAAGCGCTACAAACACTTAGTGGATGGGGCCCCAGAACAAGCCCCAAACAATCGCAGGTATATAGTTTATCATAGGCTTACAAATATCCTAGTGCTTCGAACGCTTTGTGGATCGGGCCCCAGAACAAGCCCCAAACAATCGCAGGTATACAGTTTATCATAGGCTTACATATATCCTAGTGCTACGAACGCTTTGTGGATCGGGCCCCAGAACAAGACCAAAACAATCGCAAGTATATAGTTTATCATAAGCTTATAAATATCATAGCGCTACAAATATCATGAGCTGATATGAAACCAAAACGTTTTTGTGTTAGGCTCAGGATAGGGTTAGGCTAACCATAATCGGTCAACAGTAATACCACACCTCAAAACCGAGGTGTTCCTCAGAGATAAGAGGTTTTGAATACTTCTGGGTCATGATGAATCAGATTTTTCTCATTACTAAGACCAGCAATACACAACGTTAAAGGGAGTCAGTTTAGTTTTACGCCACTTTTAGCAATATTCCAGAAATATCACGGCATGGAACTCCAGAAATGGGCTCCACACATTGTACCCATGTGGGGAATCAAACCCAGGTCTTCAGCATGATGAGCGAACGCTTTGACCAGTAGTCTACCCCACCAACCCTACTTTAAAGGGAAAAGAAAGTATGTTTTTCAAAGGGGACAGAGAGGGTAATGACTTCAAACGGTGTCCTCCCATTACGCAGACAGCCAGTTCGCAGACACCTTAAAACAACAACATTTACGGTTCAGTGAACAGATTATCTACTACCTGTCACCTACACATTATAATGGAATAGTCCAATAAAACACAGGAACAAACTGAAGCTATATTATTTACTTTAAATTTTGAACGAAAAGACAGTAATTTGAATTTTTATTTTCATAAACATTTCGGTTTAACCTTCTAGTCTAACGGGAGTCGGGATCATCATATTGAAAACATTAGCTTAGCTATTAGAAATTGCGACACTGTTGTATCATATAAATCAAATAAAGACAAATGAAAACCTAAATATTATTCATATGGAATAAAGAAGTTATATGTTTTGCACACTATATTAAGATATATGACGAGTGCACTTAATTAAGATTTATTTAGAATAAATATTTAAAATATGACGCATCATGTCAATGTGGCCATGGATGTGAGAATGTTTTTCATTACTTCCTTGAATGTCCATTGTATACTACTCAAAGACATCAATGACACCTTGAACACCAACAAAACGTTTTCTCAGTTAATTTCTGTTGTACATATGCTATTATTGGGAGGGGTCTTTTCTATCTATAAACACAATCAAATCTCTCAATGACAAACCTGTTTTTATTCGATAGTAATTGATAGTAAAATCAATTTTGAGAAGAGAAATCATTTATCATTTAATCACAACAAAGTTACATTTACCCACAATCAAACTTCTCAGTAACGAACCTGTTTCAGGCTCACCCTGCTCTACTCACTAGACAGTGGACTGTTCCATTATACCCGTAGGCGTTACCCTAATTAACCTTCTAGTTCAGTGTCTGTCAATTGGGTGTCTGTCAAATGAGATAACCCTTCAAACTGTTACTGAAACCAGTGAGTGAGTTTAGTTTTATGCCGCACTCAGCAATATTCCAGCTATATGGCGCCGGTCTGTAAATAATCAAGTCTGGACCAGACAATCCAGTGATCAACAGCATGAGCATTGATCTGCGCTACTGGGAACCGATGACATGTGTCAACCAAGTCGGCGAGCCTGACCACCCGATCCCGTTAGTCGCCTCTTACGACAAGCATGGGTTACTGAAGATCAATATTCTAACCCGGATCTCCAAGGGTCTGAAACCAGTAACATTGTGAACATGAGGGACAATAATGCTGAGTGAGTGAGTTAAAATTTAACATCACTTCAGCAATATTTAAGTCATATAGTGATGAAAATAACGTTCAAAATACCATGAATATTCATAATGGTGTGTTGTTTCAGGGATTTCTATTAATTTATAGACACTGACAACTTTTCTTTTAAAAAATCTGATCCTGTTAGTTGCCTCGTACGACATACTTGTGAGTGAGTGAGTTTAGCTTAGCAATATGCCAGCTATATGGCGGTGGTCTGTAAATAATCGAGTATGGACCAGACAATACAGTGATCAACAGCATGAGCATCAATCTACGCTACTGGGAACCGATGACATGTGTCAGACAAGCCAGCGAGGCTGAACCGATCCCGTTAGTCGACGCATTGATGACTTAGGCCAATTTTATATAAGCCTTTACTGAAACAAGTTTCATCAAATGAGAATGATACATGCATGAATGAAATGATCATTTTATTACCAACACTTATTGATCAGCTGTAGATATGAGAGTGTTTTATTTCCTGAAAACACTGCCAACATGTCATCAAGGTCAGTATGGGGTTAAACATTCTATCACTGCTCATGCACAGAAAATGAACTGCAGCTGTCTACGTAAATTGAATTAACAATAGCAGTGTAATAAATTGAGGCTTTCAAAATGAAATTCAACACGAGTCAGACAGAAAATATTTAGAATTGTCACTTTTAAATTAGCAATCTATCTGATTCACTGGCAAGCTGTTTTGATGGACAAAACAACCCAACACCATGCAATCTAGAGTGGGCAACAGCAAGTCTTGGAAAGATTTAAATGTTACCTTATTGAGTGGTTAAATGATTTTATACCATATTTAGTAATATGCGAGCTACATCACAGCTAAGGACACCAAGAAATGGGCTTAAAAATTGTACCTATGTGGGAATCAAACCAGCATTTTGGTCATGATGAGTGAAAGCTTTAATCACAGGGCTACCTGACCACCATTCATGCAGTAAACGAACAGCAGCGATTAGGTGATCTTATATAATGTTTTAAAGGAAGTTTTTCGGTGGTGGAAATAAAAACAGAACTGTCTTGAAATGAACAAGTCAGTGATTGAAATAGAAATAGAATTGTCTTGAAATTAACAAGTCAGTGGTCGGAAAAAATAGAATTGTTTTGAAATGAAAAAGTTGATGGTCGAAATATAAATAGAACTGTCTTGAAATGAACAAGTCGGTGGTTGAATTTTTTTTATATATGTCATGAAATTAACAAGTCGGTGATCGAAATAAAAATAGAAATGAACAAGTTGGTGGTGAAAGTAAACTTTTACTAAACTTTTACAAAAGATTACATTATATATCTTGTTTTCCGTATTGGATGTAAGAGATGTACGAAGAATGTCTTTGACTTACCAATGGCACAGAAGAAGCAGAGGAAGAGCAAGAGTATGACACACCAGATGACGTCCTGGTTGATCTTCCGCTCCAGCTTACTGCGCTTGTATCTGGGACCACGGTTGTTTAACATCGCCTTTGTCTCATGACCTGAAATAGGGAGAAGGACTTGGGTCAAACAGTGACGTTTAACATTACACTCAGCACTTTTCTAGGTTCATCAGACCTACCATTGATTAATGAAGACTAGGTAATCTAATGAGGTGAGGTGAGGTGAGGTGAGGTGAGGTGAGGTGCAGTGAGGTACTGTACTGTGAGGTGAGGTGAGGTGCAGTGCAGTGAGGTGTTGTACGGTGAGGTGAGGTGAGGTGAGGTACTGAGGGGTGTTGTGCTGTGTTCTGAGGTTATGGGGTGTACTGTGAGGTGAGGTGCTATACTGTGAGGTGAGATGAGATGAGGTAAGGTGAGGTGTTAATCTGTGAGGTGAGAGGAGATAATGTACTGGGAGGTGTTTTGCTGTGCTTGAGGTGCTAAACTGTAAGGTGAGGTGTGGTACTGAGAGATGTTTTGTTGTGAGGTGAGATGACTGACTGACTGACTGAGTTTGGTTTTACGCCGCTTTTAGCAATATTCCAGCAACATCAGGGCGGGGAACACCAGAAATGGGCTTCACACATTGTACCCATGTGGGGATTCGAACCCGGGTCTTCGGCGTGACGAGCCAACGCTTTAACCATTAGGCTACCCCACCGCCCTGAGGTGAGGTGAGGTGAGGTGAGGTGCTGTACTGTGAGGTGAGGTGAGGTGCTGTACTGTGAGGTGAGGTTAGCTGAACTGAGGTTCTGTTCTGTTTTCTGACGCGAGGTTAGAGGAGGTGATATACTGAGAGGAAGTGTTTTGCTGTGCTATGAGGTGAGGTGAGATGATATGGTGAGATGATATACTGAGAGGATTTGTGCTGTGAGGTGAGGTGAGGCGTGGTGAAATAGGTTTTAATGTTACATTCATGATAATCGTGCTTATTCTGCGCCATTCAGCAACAGGTGTTTGGCTGCTTGTACTAACCCGGACTAATGCTTGTTCAACTTGGCAGCCAACTGCGACACCATATCATGTTGTTATATTGATATCCAACTCACACACTAGTCAATTATGATCCTACGATTTATACCATGTGCAACAATCCAAATTATCAGGGATCATTGACAGGGCAGCCACAGAGCCAAGTCACTGATAACAGTTTCGTCAACTCTGATGACAAGCATGGCTATAAAAGACCTTTCAAGTACAGCAACTTTGCAGTTTCTGTGCCGTGACATTTTCACATCTTCAACAATGGCAATCGCTGAGTGCTTTTGACTGCACCAACTGCCCATCTGCAGTGGATGAGAGCTAGGTAATGGTTGTCATTTCAACTATGTCTTAGATACACGCCAGTACAATATGTGAGGTTTGACCAATTATTGCGTGGGTAGTGTTTTGTAAATATTCTCAAATTTTACATCATAGGGGGACATGTTGTACAATTTGTTGCACAATTTGACATTGTTGTAGCGACCATAATGATTGGTATAAACTCTCTGAAGTTTCACATGATACACATGAAGAGGGGCATTTTATTGACGTCAACTTCTGTAATATAAGAATTTATTACTCTCCCGTGGAAGATACTGCAGTGTAATATTATTACAGCAATATTACACAAGTGTAATACCGCTAGACGTATGACGTCATAATGGTTTACAGTTATGAGGTCACAATGCTAATACCTCTGTCACAATGGTATTAGACCTTGCTTGACTCGCTGAAAGCTGAAAGTCATCACACTGTTAGTAGGCAGTTTCTATCAATTTTTGTTGGAGAGTAATAAACAGAATACTAAACTCGCTTCCGTGACATACCATTTCTATTAAACTTGTGAAAGATACACGCTTTTGCTCGTTTGATACCAAATCATTAACTCGTTTAATAAAAATGGTATTACACAGGAGGTCATTTAGTATACTCTATATACTTCGAAATATACTGCTCCTCATGTTACAGAATTTGACAACCATAATATGACCCCCATTATGATTGTTATAAATGCCAAATAGATACTGCAGTATGTACTATGAAGAGAGGTCAAAAGGTTTTGAGAACTTCTCAAATCAGCAGGGTATCTCTCTTCCCATAACCACAATATTAATACTATTTGTTGTGAGGTGTTGAAACTTTCACAGGTATCTCATGAATGATCAATGTATGCAATACTACTAGCGGCACAGCTAGTCAGCAACTTCAGGTAGTGTGTTCTATAAACTTTTTGACCTCCCATTTTGCAATACATATACATTTATAACATATACTCATGGAAACGAATAAGGGAACACCTGAAACTACAAGTTTTCCCTTATTCTTTTCCATGTTTTTTTCCCAAGGTATGTATTGCACTGTGTGTGAAATTCTGGAAAAGAATAAAAGAACACCTTTACTTTCAGGTGTTCCCTTATTCGTTTCCATGGGTATATATTGCCAAAAAATTTCAGGCCAATACACAGCCTGTGTATTAACCATTGTGAAGAAGTGTTAAGCAGTTAATGATCACCCTGATTTCACACAGAAACTTCTCAGAGTTCAACATCCTGTTACGAGTCTTGGTGCGTCAATGAATTAATACAGGCTCTCTGGATATGACAAAAGGCCTGTCAGCTGAATCTATCAGCTGTTGCATAATTGTTTACTTTTACTGATATATACACATTGTATATATATTGTCCATGCCTCACAGGCCAACGACCTGATGTGGTGCTGTTCTACTGACATTTCTATTGTTAAGGAAGGATAAGATATGGATAAATAACTTCTATATTTCTCCGATTGTAATAAAGTTATTTATCCACATTTCTTATTCTCCCTTAGAGTTGTGAATAGCTGCAAAATTGCTCATGAAGCTTAAAGCAACATTGACTCGCTCAATTATTCTTCCTCAGTATCTGAATGCCTCTCAAGAAGTTATTTTTAGTTAGAGTGTGCGCCCAGAGAGCGGAAGGTCGCAGTTTTGATCCCCGCGTCATACCAAAAGATGTTAAAATATGGTACTTGTTGGTCCCTGCCTGGCGCTCGGTATTAATGGGCACAACAAGGACTGGTCGGCTTGGAGTCAGTATAATGTGTCTGAGTGGGGTATTCATGCTTAACTGCGGCATGGTATCTCAGTGGGCTAGCACTATAAAACCAACTTAAGTCTGGGCTAGTACAAGCAGCCACATATACATATGAGTTGTCATATGAGCGAAATATTCTTAAGTGCGACATTAAACCCAATTTCACCTCATCTCACCTCACCTGTTTATTTAATTAATTGTAATGTGTGAGTGAGTGCCTAATGGAAGAACGTCTTACCTGCATAAACCACGATTCCCTCGATAAAGTCAGTGTTTTTCAGAATGCATCCCCGCAGGAGTAAGTTTTCATTACTTAAGGAAATTTTTGCTTTGATTCTTTTTCTCTGCAATGGAAAATAGAACAAAAAAATAATACAAAATCACTACAAATATTCTTCCATACATTTTGAGGACATACAATTATCTAAGTGTTTGTTTTTGTTGGTTTGTTGCTTAATGCCACACACAGCAATATTCCAGCTATATGACGGCAGCACATAAACAACAATCCAATGATCAACATCATGAGCATCGATCTACGCAATCTAAGCGAAAATGTGTAACCTGTAGACATATTGAATGTGATGAGCATCACAAACTTTAGGAGGTATTGTTTATTGTTTTCTAAAACAAAAAATAATCAGCCAACATTAACAGGCAACAAAAATGAAATGCAACAAAAATATTATGCCTATTTCTTGTAAAAAGAATCATGAAACATTTCTAATTCTTCCAAGACTTCAACAAACATTATTATGAAAAACACTAATAAAATCATGCATGCATATTACAAATCACAATTTTTCGGTTTTGATTGATAAAGTTTCATAACATTATTGTACAGTTTAGACAAACAGGAAAGGAAGACATTTAACTTTAGAAAAATAAGCATCATGGCTACACAGTATACTTACACATAGCCTCTGAACTTGTAAATTTCTGAATTTGGAAGCTCAACGTCCAATTTATGCTGGAACCTACTGATCTCAAAATCATTGCTGAACTGAAAGAAAATAAGTTTTCAATGCAGAACATTCTTTTGAAAAGGTTCATTCTGAAAATGAAGTAAAGAAGGTTAGCGGAAGCCTATCGGGTGGATATAACACACTTGTTAAATCTCTATCAAAATCTTCTCATTATCAAGACCTTTACTGTAAAAATATTCAATAAACTTCACTGGACTCAACGAACATTGTCCATTGTCAGTAGCTTTGGCACTACCAGATTTTCATCTCTCCATAAAGTTGAAAAAAGAAAAGAGCACTCTGGCAAGCAATGATGATGACATTATCGCCAAACCAGAAGGAAGCCTTTGAGATACATGTAGTTTGTAATCAATGTTTCAAGTTTACTAGTAGAAATAGCTATTGTTACAAACATGCGTCTGAAACATTTGTAGTCAAATTCCACACATGTTTTTATTATTTATTATAGGATATTTCTACAGCGCACATCCATGCAACTAGTACATACTCAAGGCGCTGGTTGTTTTTCCCCTCGATCATTGGATGTCAATCTGAATTCCCGGGGGATCATACAAATCTTGCAGCCACTTATGCGCACAAAGTTATTGCGGCTTTCCCATCCTTATGAGGCATTTGTGTATTGCAATTTCTATCGTATCATGTATCATATTCCCAGATCATGTTGCCTATGTATCATACAAGGTCGTATCATAACATTGCTTATGTATCATGACCTTGCTGAGGATGATGTTGAACGACAATGACAAACCAGCTCCCTGAATGTAGTCCATCAGTTTCGCTGAGTACATTTCTGTCACTCCTCATGTGACAATAAGTGCGTGTATGTTTAGATCGTCGATCAGATCGAACAGTTAGAAGCATAGAGTCAATAGGTTCAATGATCTCGTTGAACCTTGTTTGTTTATATAAAACGCCACTGTTGAGTTGTCGGTGTGGATCATTAGGTGCGCATTCTTCAGAATGGTGCTCCAATGAAGTAGGGCGTTGATTACTGCTTTCATTTCGAGCATGTTTATGTGCAGTTTTCTCTCTTCTTGGTTCCATAACCCTGATGCCGTCCGGTTGGCGAGATGAGCTCCCCAACCTTGGAGCGACGCGTCTACATAGAGATGGGTTTTGAACTCCGGCTCTGTTAAATAGATGCCTTCGCAAACATTCGACCTCCTGGTCCACCAAAGTAGATGAGGTCTGAGGTAATTTGGTAGACCGAATGGTTGAAGGTCGTCGAGATGAGCGTTGATGAGGACCTGTAACGGGCGTAACTGTAGTCTGCCTCTGGCTGTCATGTCTTGTGCTGACATGAGGAGACCAAACAGACTCTGCCACTGTCGTAGTGGTAACGGAGAGAGTAAGGCTTGTGGAATGGTCTGTTGGATCTTGAGCCATCGGTCCTCTGGTACGACGATACGATTCTGTGTCGTGAGGAATCAAATGCCTAGAAATTGCAGGTCTTGCGTAGGTGCTAGGTCCGACTTGAGTAGATCCACTAACCATCCTAGCTGTGTTAGTAGCTTGATGGTGAAATTCAGTTGTAGTTTGAGACGCTCTGGATCTTGATCTACTTGAATCCCGTCGTCAAGGTAGAACGCACTGCGTAGCCCTTGACGATGTAGGTAAGTGACGATGGGTTTCGTTATTCTTGTAAACAACCAAGGGGGCCGATGATATTCCAAATGGTAGTACCCTCCATTGGTAATGTAGCCCATCTAGAGTAAACGGTAGGTACTTCCTCGGGTCGGAATGTATCGGGATATGCAGGTAGGCATCCTGTAGATCTATACTGGCCATGTAGTCCATCGGACGAACGAGGTGCCGTAGTTGAGGTAGATGTATCATGCGAAACGTTGGCGGTTTGCGTAGATAATCCCTGTTGAACGAGCTCATGTTGTAGATGAGTCGGAACTTTTCCTTGGAATTTTTCTTGGGCACTAGGAAAACTGGGGAGTAGAAACCTGGCCCGATGTTTACTTGATCCACGATTTCTATGGCCTGCTTGGTTAGGAGAGACTTCTCTTGAATCCTTGATGACTTCTTTAGAGACTTTATCAATTCCTCAAGCGAAGATGGAAGGCGTTGACCATGGGGCTGTGAATAGAGGTGCTGTGAACTGTTAACCCCAACTACAGGTGGTGAGGAGACCTTGACGACGAGCCTGAGTAAGAGCTGCTGAGATGGATGAAAGTGATCCGTCATGAATTGCTGGTCCTTCTTCTGCATAAGGAGGGCCGAGTATATCATTCTGTCTTCTTCTGATGTAGAATCTCGGAATCTAGTGATGAGAGTTTCATTAATAGTTCTGGATCTGTTGAGGCCGAAAAACATTCTTCTGGTCATAGTTTCGACTTGAGCCAGCTTGCGATCCTCGATCTTGTACGTCTTGGCCTTGGCATCGTTGATGACATTAAAGTTATCGTTGATTTCTTGAGCTTTGTAGAATGGGTCCATGTTATAAGCAAAGAACTTCTTGGCTTTGAACTGAGGTAAGTGCGGCGCCTGAGCTTTAGTGGCTGTTTGGATAAGTTCTGTGGAGCCGTTGCTATAGGGTCAATCGGAGGTAGGGTGATCGTGTCTGTGTCGTCCTCCCTCATGAGATAGGTGTGAGCCGGGTTGATGTCTTTAGACGGTGAAGCCAGGTCCAGGCTGTTGGCCATCCAATAGCGTATCTCTGCGTCAGAGAATATGATGCCTCCATCATCTTCGGTATCCGGAGCGTTGGTAAGAGGCCGATGATATTCTTCTGATGGTGACTGAGGTGGAGTTCTGTATACTTGAACAACTGTGCATGGCGATGTATGAGGAGACCTGACTGAAGACTTTCGCGGAGGCTTATGAGGCAAGCGACGTGGTGATCTATGAGGTGTCCTGCGTGGTGATCTATGTGGAGACCTATGAGGCGATTGACGAGGTGAACGGCGAGGCGATCGACGTGGAGAACGGCCTGACGAGCTGCGTCTGTAAGGTGACCTTTTGCGGAGATATTACGTTGTTGTGAACGACGATAGCTTCGTGAAGCTCTTGGGGAATCCCTCGATGACCTTCTAGACGAAGATGACTTGGAGTCTGTAACTGGAGTCCTTCGCGAAGACCTTCGCGAAGCTTCATCTGAGTCCGGTCCTGGGGAGTGACGACTTGACCTTCGCGAAGGCTGGTGGTCTGAGGCAAAGTCCGAGGATGAGAGGATCCTTCTTCGCGAACGCGTTCGCGAACGTTGATCTTCAGAGTCTGAGGCTGGTGACGATCTAGGTGTACTTCGCAAAGGCCTTCGCGAACGCTGATCGTCTGGGTCCTTCGCAGAGGTAGACTGTGACGTCCTTCACGCAGGCTGGTCCCTCAGTGGTGACTTGGTAGCAGCCGCTACGTTGACGGGGGGTCCCTCAGGGGTGACGTCTGCGGTGGAGCCTCCGCGAAGGCTCAGGTCCTGGCCTGGTCGCCCGGGACGGTCTGCGAAGTTGTAGTAGCTGCCCTATCTGCGTTGGTAGCGACGGGACCCATGGGAAGATCGTCAGTTCTCAGCGTTGATACATCAGGCTGATTGAGGATCTGCGCTGACGTCACTGTAGCTGACACCAGTCGTTTCTTGCGATGAACATCAGGTATGATGAGCGGCTGCTCATCATACAGGCCCTGTTCTGTAGCGGGAACAATCTCGGCTGAGAAAGTTCTTGCTGACTGCGTTGTTTTCCCCTTGGTAGTAGACGCTGCCCTGAGGGTGCGGAGTCTGCGTTGTGACGTAGATGCCCTCTTAGTCTTAGGCTGCGACGACGGGAGGTCTGGTGATGCAGGACGCTTTTTGGAGACGGCGGACTGTGTCCCACGCCTCTCCTCCGAGGGTAACTCCAGCGGAACACCAGACGGGAGGGGGTCGTCCGACAGCAGTTGACTTGCGAGGGGTTCAGTAGCATTAGCCATGCCTAGACTCTGTTTACGTGACCTATCTGCTGCGCGTCTCAGGACGCAAAGTAAATATTTGTTAAAAGCAGAATGAGATAAATTAATACAGAAACTGCAACGTGAACTGAAAGCACATGGTACAGTACAGCTAGGGCATATTAAATGCGGATCAGCAGCAGAAAAACGTAACTTACAAACAGTACAGATTTTCATCAACTTAATCTACTGAACAATCACGGCGTAAACCACGAATAAACAGCAGTAAATATGAGTATATATCAAACCATATTGTTGAAGGATACTAGCTAAACCTCTATAAGAGACTTGTAGAGGTAACTAAGTAAGAATAATCAAAGGATATAGTGCCGTAGGGAGACACAGGCGCTCTCACATCCTGCTCACTGGGCGAAGAAGGAGAGAGTGAAGCATGTGGGATGTGATGGCGCCACATTTCCCGCCAAAAGGGGCAAAGAGAGGCAACTCATGGTGAGTATTGATTAGTGATTTTAAATTGAAGGGAGCTTCAATAAGGGAGATACAAGTGTTCCACTATGTTCGCAAGAAGAAGAAGACAAGCAAAAAGAGCATGAGTCAGGATAAGGAAAAATTTATATTTTTTCTGAGAAGTTACATGTATATACAGTACATAAATCTCAGATTTGCCTAGGGCAAATGTTTCTAAATTTTCCTGTAGGTTCTACTACACTAAATCAGTATCACATGCTCCCTGCGCGAGACCCGTATGTAAACAAGTGAAGAGAGACAGAGACATGTGACAGCTGTGATTGGATGAAATAGTGTAAGATGTTTGTTTTTTAAAAGCACATCCAACCAGTAATTAAAACTGACCACAATTTTAAGTATTTAGTGCTGTCATATTTATCACCATCACTTATACTTATTGTGTGTACAGACATTTTCCAGTAGGTGACATTTGGTGCGGAACTGGGGTTGATGTGTTCTGCTTCCTGTGCTTGCAAAACGAGCCGGACAAGTTGGCCTGATATTGGTTTATGGTAGTTTAAAGGCCAGAGTGTACCCATGTGTACATGGAATGGCTGTTGATAGCCTGGATATTAAAAAAAAAAAAAGGTTACTATAGAAGTCTATGGGAAAACATTTGGTGGTGTGTAACCTGTAGGGTTCGAGCACTTTTCAGTAATTCATACTTTACATGCTTTCCTGTGTTTATTTCACCATGGAAACATGTTAGCATTAATGTAGAGGCAAATTTAAAGGTACTAGGAGGAAGATAGGGCTGTTTTGAGTGGAATAGATTGTTTTAGTGTCCAGAATATGAACGTTGCTTCGTTTTGTGGTCGAACAGTGGTAAAAGACCCTCAAGGTGAGTCTTACTATCAAGTAGTGGTTCCCTGGCTTCTAAATTTGTTGGAACTGATGAATTTGACAACAAATTTGGTTAAAATCACCACTGCCACAACAATGTGAGTGTCTAAGTTAATCTCCTTAGGGTCAGTTTGAAGTCAAATGATAAGAATATCATGAAATATGTTCACTGCTGACAGCAGAACATGTCACAAACCCTTGTTTTAAATGCAAACAGTGTAGCATATGATCAATTCTTTCTGTCTGTCCCCTTTTACATATGCAACGACCTATTTTTCTTTTCCTTTTTTAGACATATACTCCCAAAATGAATTTCTGTTTTATTAACAACTGTATCATTGCTGTTATGGATTTTATGACTTGACATTTAATGTAATCTCAACACTATTTTCAGCTTGTAGAATGCCTGTTGGTGAATGGGGAGGTGTATCTTCACAAATACAGCAGAAAAAGAAGCCTTCACATCCAATGTGGTATTTCGACAAGCCAGTCCGAAGTCTGTTGTTGGCAGTGTCTAATCAAGCATACTCCCTTTGCTTCCATATGCTTTACCGCCTTGTAGAAGTTGCAGTACTTGGACATGTAGGTACATGTAGTACATTTAAGTGCCCCCAGTCCAGTTAAGACACCACAATGTCTCACTACCAAATTCCATCACTCGGTCATCCTCATCCATTAGAAATTTCTGACAGTGTCCCCTTAATGCCTCACTGTGTAGTATTTCAGTTTCCCAGACATGAAATAAGGGCTGTACATCAACCCCAGAAGCTGCTTAGATGTAAATAATAACAACTGACCCTTGTGGAATGTAATATTATGGGTCTGAATTCACATTTTATTGACATGAGAGTGTTCGATATCTTAAAATTATCTCCCCTGTTTACCCAAATACATTGTGTCTTTCTCTAACCCAGTAACCCATAAATTACTGCAGAGAAGCTCTGTTTTTACCAGATATTGCCAAACACGGTTAATTGTAATTAAATATACTCAGTTTAGGGCAGGGTAACCAATAAATTTCCAAAATTATGTGGATTTTTTCACTTTGTTCCCTCTAAACTGGCTTATACATGAAATTGGCAAGTCTAACAGCCTCAAACAATACACAGTAAATAATTTTGAATTTCTGGAAGTATTTCAGAGTCTTAGCTTGATGAATCAATATATTCAAGTGTAAGTTCTTATCATGCTGTGGTCTAAAAGTGATTTCATCTGTGGAAGGGTCATTTGCCCTGATCGACTAACAGGCGGCAGGGTACTGTGGTCAGTGTTTCAGACTGCTAGGCATTATCCAACCCCTCACTTATTACATTCTGGCAAAGTTCATCATCCAGCCTTACATATGTCAGGATGTTAATGCTGCTTAATGTTAAACCTGTCCAATTTCATGCCTGAATTCCATGATTTTGGTCGTTCAAAATATATTTTGGATTGATATGATCAAGGCAGCCACAGTCATGCATGGAATTAACCCATGGCCCCCCTTCTTTTGTGAAATAAGAGTAAACTCCCATGGTATATGTATGATTTGAAAACTTTCTTTATTAATGCAGAAGTGCATTTTGTATAGCTTTGGTGAAATAGACATGATATAACTCTTACAGCTCTGTCAGTGCAGCAAATCACTATATTCTTGTGCCATATAGATATGTTGGACAGGAAAAAGTATTGAAGCTTCATGCAATTATATAATTTTCTGAATAAAATTGATATTTTATACTTATCCTGACTCATGCTTTTTTTGCTTGTCTTCTTCTTCTTGCGAACATAGTGGAACACTTGTATCTCCCTAATTGAAGCTCCCTTCAATTTAAAATCACTAATCAATACTCACCAAGAGTTGCCTCTCTTTGCCCCTTTTGGCAGGAAATGTGGCGCCACCACATCCCACATGCTTCACTCTCTCCTGTTTAACGAGCCCGACACTTGAATTTTCAGGGAAATCCAAAAGTGTCATGTGGGGAGGATGGGAGGGCTTACCTCATGAGTCAGGATAAGTATAAAATATCAATTTTATTCAGAAAATTACATATTTTTCCTTATCCTGACTCATGCTCTTTTTGCTTGTAGAATCCGACGGAATCGGAGGTGGGAACAGATACTTTGGATTTTAATTAGTGATTTAGATGTAATAACCCCCTACAGGAACTTCATAATGGCACTGTAATTAAATTAATTTCTGCTGCTATCATACATAAGTTCTACCA